TGTGTGTGTGTGTGTGTGTGTGTGTGTGTGTGTGTGTGTGCGCGCGCGTACGTGTGCGTGTGCGTGTGTCGGTGGGTGTGTATTTATGCACACATACGTCATTACATAACTACGTCAAGCGCATACTTGAGTTACGTTGCAACGATTGATGAACGCAAAAATTAAACAATCGCATGCAGTATCCAGTACTAGATATCACACCGAATCCTGCACTATGTATCATGGTGTGCCAATGCATTTATACAAACTTACTACACTGACACATGTGGTCGTAAGCCCCTTACAACGCGCGAGAAGCGATACATTAAACATTTTACCGAGCAGTAAGCTCTTAAATCTATTCATAGGCGTTTTCAGTTAATAGTCGTCGTGTCAAAGTAGAGTTATGCGCAACCACGAAGAATGCGTTTAGCAAATCAGAGCTATTAGACGCATTATGTTGTCAAAAGAAAACTGCAGTCAGGTTTTCGAAGACCTTCGGTATGGTAAATGTTTTCTACGGCAGATTAAACATAAAGTCATGGGAAGTAAACGGTAAGGAATCTACCGAGCCAAGCATTGGCATGGAAAATTACAATGCTTTATGATGGTTTAACAGACCGTAAAAAGGAGAAAAACGGTCAAAGCCATATAGAACGAGCTATATAGCACGAATATGTCTATCGTTAAGTGCGAGAATTTATCAAAAGAACGATAAAAAATAAACGAATAATACACGCGCGAACGCTAATATATAGTTGTTTCATCGCTTTTATTATGTGGCCCGCAGACATGCACTTCTTCATTCGCAAGTAAAATCATGCGTCTATTTTTCTTTCACAATCCATTAGAAACACGAGTTGAAACCTAAGCATTTGCAGTATTTTTACTTAGCTAATGGGACACTCAGTGCGTGCACCACTCGGCGCTTATACAGTGTTAAACCTCACATGGCCGTCTATTTCGATAGTGATGCGTATTTAATACGTCCACCTTCTCACGTGACAATCGAAAAGCTCTCGTATTTCTTTTAATGTTTACTTAACTTTTCACCGTTCATTGCAGCACTGTGGGCACTTTACGCCAACCTCCCGGCAGGATTTGCACCTTTAGCACCGAGCACTTAACATCTTAATGCAAGAGGGAGATGGGTGGGAACACCTGTTTAAACTGCCCAACCGCTGTTACCATTCACAACATGCCAACAGCATTTCGGGGCGCATGCATGGGGCCACCTCAGCAGCTGGTAGCTCGGGCCAGGTATGCGGTGAGCCAGACAAAATTTTAAAATGTATAGATGACAAAATTTGCTATAGACTCGATATCTAAAATAATAGGCGCAATTCGAACAGGTCAGAATTACGCCCTTTGGCTTCTTCCGTCCTTTCGATTAGTCATGCAATTAGTGATAATAGCAGAATATATATATA